GTTTTTATATTTAATCTCAATATTTCAGTGTTTACAATACTAATATCATTGTATTTTGATGTTTTATTATAATATTGTCTTAATACTGCTCTATTGTAATATTATGCAATTTAGTGTCAATAATTGTATTGGCAATGTGGCCTCTTTCTGCACACATACAAACCAACCCCTGCCACCACTTTCTGCCACAGCTGCATTGGTCTAATAGTCTATGTCATGGACTTTCATGTGGGAGATCATGTTTTAAAACCCAGCTAACGCAATTTTAACAAAAAAACTCCTCCAACTTCATATTGTCACACAATTACCTTAATTACAAACACCTGCTGACGTGACAGGCACAAGCTGGTATAGAAAACACATTTGAACTTGGTCAAAGTTCATTCTGCAAGTCCAATGCTGCAGGCAAAGCCATGCTGYAATGACATGCTACATGGCAATGCACACTTGTTTTTACATCGTAAAAACCCATGTCTAGTTACTTTCTGAGTTTCTCTCAGATCTGTCCACAGGGTGATCACATATTTTGCTGACAATAAATCAAGTACACGCAGACCAGCGAAAACAGTTTTATCTCCACCTTCAGTTGAAAACAAAGAAATGCGGGTTGAAAGACAATCCTTCTATTTAAGGCTCACAAAGTGATGACAATGCATTCTCTGACTTATGATAAGTTTGTTTTGCAAACCTTCACTGTATCAAAGGGCTGTGGGACTGGATAAAAACTTGAAAAGCTGGAAAACCTGTCATGGACACAAGCAAACAATCTGCAAACTGTCGACACAAAGGCCCAATACAAGACTTCAGAAGTTCACCGTCACAACTGTACGTTTTACATAAATCAACAAATAAAATCCATGCTTTGCATGCAGTTTGAAGAATGAACTCAACCAACAGGACAGGAGCTTAGTCCTGAGCTGAAACACGTCCTGCTTTTAGCTTCAAGGAGAAAAAGTTTGACGTCTCCTGAGTCAGACGTGGATTACTTTAAAAAAGATCAGATGTGTAAACATCTCTAACCAGGAACAATCTGAATGCTTACAGCTTCCACTGGTCACAGCTCGATGACCACAGACAGACATGATAAAAGAGAAGCACAAAAAGGAAAGAGTATTGTTTGCAAATCACTTAAAGGTCAAAACTTCTGCTTTTGTAAAAAGAAAGTGTAAAAAGTGAAGCATTGTTCATTTAAAGTTGGGTTTAAGAACCAACAACACTTTTATCCTGAGGGAGGTCTTTACCTTCCTAAATGAAACATGGATGTTTCTTGGTGAGTTCAGCACTTTAATGAAATGTCCTGATGCAGCTCAGTAACCAAGGTAGAAAAAAGTCAAAAAAGAAAAAAATCAGTAGGTCCTCTGGATGGTTCTTCTTTAGTGAAACGTTTCGTCTCTCCTCCAAGAGACTCACCTGAAACTCATCAGACTGAAGAAGTCTCTTGGAGGAGAGACGAAACGTTTCACTAAAGAAGAACCATCCAGAGGACCTACTGATTTTTTTCTTTTTGACTTTAATGAAATGATTGCCACTTGATTGTATTTTAATTCCGTGCAGCTCTTGGGGAGAGACATTAAATCTTAGAGGTGTTTAAAACTCACCACAGCACTGAGTCGCTCTGTTGAGGGTTTTAATGATATTTTTACAGCAATGGATTCTGGGCTTCCTGTCCTATTGGACCTTACAGGTGCTGGTCATAAAATTAGAATATCATGAAAAAGTAGATTTATTTCAGTAATTCCATTTAAAAAGTGAAACTTGTATATTATATTCATACATTACATACAAACTCATATATTTCAAATG